CTTCCAAGGCCAGCCCTGCGTGTGCTCCTCCGCTCCAGAGCCCGGCAGGGGGTCTGGGGTGCACAAGCTGGGTGTGGTCAAAGACAGTGGATGGTAGTGGAAAAAGGGGCTGCCCTGTCTTCGGAGAATGTGCTTTCCTTCTTTGGGAGTCTTGGCAGTGAGTTCTGAGGTCAAGTTCATGCCCTACTATGTATCCCTCCTGTTCTGTGCCTCTGTTTCTCCATCTGTAATATGGGACACAAGAGGTGCTTGCCCTTTGGGTTATTGGAGGAGTCAGTGGGCTCCTGGGGCACACATACACTCCCAATTTGGGTTTTATCCGTGCTCAGGGATTTGTAGCAGGAATCTTGTCCTTCTCCTTTGCCCAGGCTTCCGGGTGTCATTTTATTGACCTATTATTGAGCCAGTGATAAATCCCTTAAATCTCTCATAATCTGGTGTTCTCAGCTTCCTCCGGGTACAAAGGCTTTCAGTGAGCTCTGGCCGGGGCAGGGTTCGGCCACACTTCCACTGCTTGGCCCTCTGGCACCTCCGGCCTGCTGGCAGGAGAGGGGGTGGAGGGGTTGCAGTTGGCCTGCTGGGCCCTGACCAAGAGGAGCCTGGGTAGCAGGCTGGGACTATGGTGAGGGGGTAAGGTGGGGGAGGAGCCCAGGGCACAGAACATGAGGGGGCGCTCACGCTCAGGTTGGTGCCAGCAAAGTGTCAGCCCTGAGATAATAGCTCCTTAAAATTTGGGCCCTGTGGGGCTGGGGATTTAGCTCAGCGGCAAAGCACCTGACCTGGCAAGTGCAAGGTCGTGAGTTCAATTCCTGGTACCAGAAGAAAAACAAAAACAAAAACAAACAAACAAACAAAATTTGGGCCCTAGGCCTATCTCACTCACCGTCCCAGCCAGCCCTGCCAAGTGAGTCACCATATCAGGCTACCCTCTGTGCCACCCCTGAGGAAAGAGAAGACCAGAGGAGCCCCTAGGCCACAGAGCAGAGCTGGCTAAGAGTGGCAGTGCCTGGAACCACAAGCAGGTGGGGGCATAGGATGGACCAGGGCCTGGAAGGTGACTGGGGAACTGCAGGGCCTGTAGGGTACCCGGTTGGGCACCCGGTCTGAGTCCCCTCTGGGGTGTGTAGATGCCATAGCCCAGATCTGAGCCCGATGGCCGCAGTCTCCAGGTGCTGGATCTGCTCTGCAGATGGGGTGGCAGATGGTACAGGGTTGCACCCAGGCTCTCACCCAGCTCTGCTCCCACAGCCCTGCCTTCCCGCCTCTCAGCTGTGTGACCTGGCTGGCCCCACTGCCCCTCAGAGTCCCTGCGCTTTCTCGGTAAGGGGGCCAGTGATTATCAGAGGGACTGAATGGGGCGGAGGGAAGGGCCCAGCAGGGAGCAGGCCCCATGTACAGGGCCAGGAGGTTGGGGACATAGAGACTCCCGTGGGAAGCTCCTCTCAGTGCCAGGTTCACGACAGGCACGGGCTCAAGTCCAGGGAAGGGCCGAGGGACTCAGGGGCTGGGCCAACCCCAGCACTTTGCCTTTCTGCTAAAGACAGAAGAGTGGTTAAAACAAAACTTAAAGGGGAGCTTGGGTGAGCCAGGCTTATAGGTCCTGAGGGGTCAGAGAACAGCCAGACAGGCGGGGGACAACCAGGGGAACGTCCGCTTACTTTCTGTTGCTGAGACAAAATACCTGACATCCACAAGTTAAAGGAGAAGAGGTTTATTTTAGTTTACAGTTTGTAGAGGTTTCAGTCCACAGTCGGCTGAGTTCAAGGCAGGGAGGCGCGGAGAGGGGCGCGGTACAGGAGAAACACCCCACGGCAGGGCAGGCAGGAGGCCCCGAGTCTCCCTTCTCTTTTCGTTCTGTCCGGGTTACAAGTCTACCGGTTGGTGCCACCTACACCTGCGGGGAGCTTCCCCCTTAAGTGAGTCCATCGCTCACATCCAGTACTGTGCCAAACCAACCAGTGGACTAATCCAGTACCAGACACCCATGACCCAGTCACTCCCCAGAGTCACTCCCCTTTGGGGACATCTAGAGATAAGCTATGAGTCCCTGCAATGGTACCTGAAGCCAGGGGCTCTTGGGCCTTCCCTGCCAGTGGCTCCCGCTCAGGAGGCCGCTCCTCACCTGCCCTCTCCCCAGCACAGCAGGTCGCCATTAGGAAGGCGCACAGGCCCCAGCTCTGCTCACCCCTCCAGCTGGATTCCGGCTCCTTGTCCAGCCTCCAGCTGTGGGCTGAGCTGTGTCTGGCTCATCGAGGAAGGCCTTGCGCCCCCTGGGTGGGAGACAATGCTGCTCTGCTGTCCTCTCTGTCCACAGATTCAAACTCCGTAATATCAGCCAGAGAAACCCTCCGGACACCCTGGCCCCTGGCCCTTCATCGCCCCCAGCCCACACAGCAGTTCCAGCCCTCGCCATACGGGACAGAAGGTGCCCGAGGAGCCCGACGGAGGGCTGTGAGAAGCAGGGCTTCCTCCTTGCCCCGGGAAGGTCTTTGACACACTCCTTTCTAGGCCAGAGGCTGGGAAAAAAGAAGCCCCCTTCCCCGACAGCTCTGAGTGCCGCCCGGCCCTCTGCTCCCGCCACAGATCCCTTCCTGGAAGGAGGCGTTCACTCTGGGTTTCCTTCCGGAGCAGGGAAGACCTCCCCGACTTGTCCCTACACGTGGCTGCCCTCCTCTACCTCCCTCAGGAGTGTAGGGGAGACGCCCAGGAGCACTGATAGCCGCCCTGCTCTGCTACTACAGGAAAAGCCCTGGGGTGGGCATGAGAGGGGCACTATGGAGGCGCACTGGGGGGCACGCCAAGGCAGAGCTAGGCCCGGTGGGAAGCAGCCTGTCTCCTCCTGCTTGGTGCCGCCACAGGGGCTCCCCGTTTTCTCCTTCTTCCTCCCTTCCCTCTCTGCACCTGCTGCTCACACTCCTCAGCCCTTCTCAGCAAGACCAGAGTGCGCGCTGGGCGGTCACAGATGCCGCTCCTGCAGCTGTCCCCACCTGTGCCCTCAGATGCCAGGCTGATGGGGATGCCCAGCCTTTCTTGGGCTTTCCCCAGAAATCCTCAGCCCAGGTCCTCCGTGTAGAGGCCCCCTGAGCGGCACGGACGCACAGGATAGGTAGGGGCGTCTGTCCCAGCCTCTCAGCACCCAGGCGTACCTGGCCCCACACCCGCCTCCTTTTGCAAACTACACTGGGTGTAGCACCTGTACCCACACACCCTCTTTGCCTCCACTTGATGTCTTCTCCTGTCTAGGATGATGGACCGTAGTACTGAGCTGCCACACCTCCGGAGGAGGCCACAGCATGGTCAGAGCAGCGCTGGAGCCTCTGGGCTCCTCTCACTGCAACTTTCCTCTGCATGCTGGAGGCCTCCCACTGTCCGCCTGCCTCCAGAAGACGGGATCTCTTTATCCACTTTGGCTTGAAGGTGACACCTCACCCTATGAAACAAGACGTTTATCCCCTCGTCCCGTTCTGCAGTACAATACTGGGGACTGAACCCACCCAGGGGCTTCATACTGAGCTACATCACTGGGTCTTTAAAATTTTTTTTTAGTTTAGACAGGATCTTGCCAAGTTGCTAAGTTGCCCAGGCTGGGCTTGAACTTATGCTCGTCCTGCCTCAGCTTCCCAGAGTTCTGAGATTACAGATGAGTGCTACCACGCTTGGCTGAGGTTACCCTCCTCTGAAGATGTCATGTACCGCAAAGTGTCACTGCTTCTGGCATGAAGCTCTGGCCACTATCAGAGGTTTTACTCACAGAAGTGTGTGTACGGGGAGGCAGGGGATCTTTTGAGGGCTTCAAGTAACAACGGCCAGGGCCCTCACAGCAGGCAGCCCATCTCACCTATCTTCGGGCCAGAGGTCATGAGGAGAGCCCTGGTCAGTTCCCCAGGCTCGAGGCCCAACCAGTCAAGCCTTTCCCTCCCATACTTATCAACTCCACATTCGGGGTAATTTGGTTTTCCTCTAGGACGAGGAAGAGCTGGAAGATACAAGGTGGGGGCAAGGGAAGCGGAGGTGACTGTCCACAGGGATAGCAGCCCTGTGTCCATCAGGAAAGGGGTCTGAGGCAGGCAGTGAGAGACAAGGACATGGGGTCCTCTTGGAGACCCCTCAGAGCCTTGCTCCAGAGGCCCTGTTCCTTCAGGATCCCCAGACACCAGCTCTCTGCAAAGCCCATGCTCCTGGGCTGAGGGGCTGCCAGCAGGGTGGATCGCACAGCCCCGCCCTCCACCCCAGGGCCCTCAGGGACCCTGCCAGCCTGAGGGAAGGAGGCTCCTTCCCAAGAGCAAGGCCGTCACTGCCAGGCCTAACTATGACCCATGTGGGCAGCCCATGCTGGGTGCTTGGGTCTCAGCTTTACCTGAGGCCCTATCCAGCACCCCCTCCCCATTATAGGCCTGGGGGCTCCCCCAGCCTTGTTTTCATGTTAGTCTGAGGCTCAGCTCTCTGGAGCCTCACTTAGGAGTACCAGCGTCTGGAAATTTCAGTGCTAAAACTGGGACATTCCTGAGAAAGCCAGGATGGCCATCCTAGCGTCGTTCTTCTCCAGAACTTTCTGTATCTCACAGGTGAGTTCCACGTACACAACCCCAGGGGCTGCCCAGCCCTCACCCACGCCCTGCAGCCCTGTGCTCCAGGGGAGGCCGTACTACTGTGCTCCTCTTTGTGTTTCAGCCTCAGCTCCTGCAGACTCCGAGGTGCCAGACGACCCCACCCCGCCCCATCCTTGGGGCTGAAGCCTCCTCCCTGCTTGGTCTCACAAGGTCCTCTCCAGCCGGGAAGTGGAAGGCACTGTGACCCCGGTCCACAGCTGAGACATAAGAAAGACCCCAGAGTGCTTTGAACTCAGGGCCAGAGCCTTTTCTCAGACGGGTGAAGGAAAACCAAACGGACTACCACCTTACAGCCGGATCCAAGTGACCACCCCAGGTGCCCCAAGCCCTTCCCCCTGGTGTCCCATCCTGAGGTTTCCCCCCCGGGTCACAGGTTCCCCTCTCTTCATGTAAACATCTTAATTACATCTTTAATGCTCTCACAGCGAGATACTGTGAGTTAAATTACAGCTTTCTGTGCATCCTAAATTACCCGCAGCCCTCCAGTTGCTCAAGGGCTGATACGTTCATAGTGTCTAGAGGAGGGAATGCATTGAGAAGCTTCCCCGCAGGACCTCCGAAGCTGTCACCCCTGACAGCCAGTGGAAGACCCGTCTGTGCCAGCCTGCGTCCCGTCCGAGCAGGGCAGGGCAGTGAGGTGGTGAGGCAGGCGAGGGGAGACGCCTCTGTGCACCGCCATGAGTGCACGCATGCGCAGTGCAGAAGACTCGCCCAGCCCTCGAGGTCTGGCCTGCTCATGCTCCGCTCAGACGCCACTGGCATCAGCCGCCACCCTGCAATGCCAGAGAGGAGGCCAAGGGCCGAGACCCTGCTCCCACTCGACAAGCGCTGAGAAGCCCTCCCCATACAGATGGGGGAAGATGAAAACGTGGCTAGGCTTCTTCGGTGTTTTTCCCGAAAGGGACCCCTTTCAGGTGGAAGGAACTCCCACTGGCCTCCAGCCTAGGACCTGCCCTCTGAGCTCTCCCTGAGCCCCAGGTCCCCCCGATTTGGACAGGGAGTCGGCTTATTGAGCCCAGCGAGGACATGCAGTGGACAGCAGAACCTGGCCTCACTTCCCTCTTCCTTACCACCCTTGACCGCAGAAATCAGGGGAAGCAGCCTACCTGATCCCCCACTACGCACCATGGCATGCGGGTGGGCTTGGAGGGCAGAGCCCGTGCAGAGGTCTCCCTCCTGCCCCTGTGCTGGGACAGGCGTGTGTCTGTTTGTGGACCCATTCGTGTGGGTGCGGCGGCCTCTCCGTAGGTCTCGGGCCTATGTCCCTCCACATCATTTCCCCTAGCTCCTTCTCCCTCAGCTTCCACCCTTCCTTGGGCACAGCGAACAGGGACAGGTGGCCGGGAGACAGCACGGGTGCTCTGTGACTTGGATGGACCTTGGGTGTGAGCAGCCCTTCTCCCAGGCATCTTGCCTACTGAGAAGTTTCAGCTCCATCCTGGGCAACTCAGGGCCTGTAACAGGTGCTGTCCTACCCGGTCTCCATGACCTGGGTAGTGGCCTCTTTCTACCCTGGAGGAAGCCCCAGATTCCAGAAACAAGGTCTCTCCCTGACAGAGGGGAGCCACCTCCCTCCTCCCCCTTCCCCTCTCATCCCAGGTCTCTCTCCATTTCTTCCACTTTAGAGAAGCAGACCTTGGTGTGAGGGGTGTGGCCAGGAGGTAAGGAAGCCAGCAGTGGCTCTGGATTGGCCTAGTGTGAAGAATGCCCTCCATGTCGGGCTGTCAGGCTAGGAGAGGTCAGTGGCTAGATGGCTGGCCTGGAGAGTCAGCAGGTAGGTCCGCAGAGCAGCTGGGGCTGGCCAGCCCTTTCCTGTCTTGGCAGGGCAGGTCCTGAGAATAGGTCTGACAACCAGGTGATGGGCGGCTCTGTGGGCGCGGTGGCAGGTGTCTTTATCAGAGGTCCAGGCCTGTTCTTGGGCCACTCACGCATGGATGGCATTGGCCACGTCAGTAAACACCAGTCGGCTGGGCCTCTGCAGAGGGCCCTGGGAGGGGAGGGTGCTCTGCAAGGACACAGGCAGGGGCATCAGAGACTGTGACCATGGCCGCGTACTCTCTGGCCCAGTCACTTCCAGTCTCATTTCCTGGAGCATCCCTGTGTTTGGCACCAGCTCTGCCTTCTGCCTGGAATGCCCTCCTTGCAAGCTCAGCCTAGAAATGTGACTTGCTTTGGCTGACTCCTCCCCGACAGCCACCCCTGCTTGCCCTGTCACCTTGGCAGCACTTCCTGTGGGCTCTCTTGCAGAATTAATTACGCATGCATGTCCTCCCAGCAGGGGAGACCTTACCTCTGTCCCCCACCCCAGTAGAGGGACAGGCACAGGGAGGTTCATGAGAAACTGTCAAATGACCAGAGTCCAGCAGGCTGGGCGGACCAAAGTCCCTGGTGTGGCTTTTTGAACACCCAAGGATGCAATGTGTCCTCACCCAGCTAACACAGAACGGGCAGCAAAACCAAGGGGTCCCCTGACTCCCAGCCTGAACTCATCTGAGTCCAGAAAGAGGCAGAGAAGCTTGATGGGGCAGGGCTGACTCAGCCTCTGCATGATGTGTTGGCCCTCGGTCATCTGAGGGCATGGTGGCGAGTGATCAGATAGCCAGTGACTCTGGCAGAATGCTAATAGAGGGACCTATCCCTTTGGATACAGGAGGTAAGTTTGGTTGGGGTTTCCACTGGCCTGGGGCCTGACAGTGATTAGGAATCCACCAATCTAGTTGGACATGCCACTGTTCAAGAGCCTGACCCCATCCTCAATCAACTTGGGACCACAGGCCCAAGGAGCAGAGGAACCCAGGGTCCCAGCCCCCAACCGTCTCTGCCATTAGTCCTTTCTGGCTTTCCCAGCCAGTAAGTGGGAGTACACAGAGCAGAAATAGGATTTTCATTCGAAGATGAGAAAACTAGGCTCAGAAATGCCAGTGGGACTTCCACGAGCAGCAGATGAGAGCTATTAGGGCAGAGCCAAGCTGAATCTCGCTGCCCTGGGCCTGGCCTTGTGCAGTGAGTCTGTGAGTGGCCACGGGGCGATTAATTCTACCAGTTTCTGAACAAACCCGACGAGACCCATCTATGCAACAGCTGCCACCCGACCACCTGGCAGGTGCCGGCAGGACAAAGGGAAAGGGCAGAGGGTAAGGTAGAGGAGGCACAAGGGCCTGCAGGGGGCGGGGAGGGGCGGGGAGCCTGGCAATGCCCACCTTGTTTTGCATGGCCTGCAAAGAGGCTGCATCTCGCCCGTGCTCCAGCAGCTCCTGCTCCAGTTCGTCTTGCTCCTCCGTGGGGTCAAAGTTGTACATAGGCATGAGCTGGTGGCGCAGTTTCTCCAGCCTGGAAGTGCGAGCGGAGGCTGTGGGGGGGCAGGGCAGGCCCTTCCTCTCTCTTCCACTCTCCCTCCCAGCCCTGCTACCAGCTAGCTGGACCACAGAACACGACCATGCTGAAGGGCCCAAGATTTCCCTTGGGATTCAATGACTGACATGTTAGTGCCTGCAGTACCAGCCCTAGTGCTCCGATGGGTGGCCTGGGAAGGAACCGTTAGTGACTCCACCCTAGGTGGAGCCATGGGCCACGCGGCTGTTGGCTGTGAGACCCCCAGGGGCAGCCTGAGGACAAGGCCTTGCTGCAATCCACAGCTTCTGGGGGGTGGGCTGGGGGAGAGGAGTCGGTGGCAGTCAGTTCAGGGCAGTAAGGCAAGGATGCCCTGGCCGTTAGGTAAGGGCAATTCCCACCTTCCCTCCTCTTCTCCCCACCTCAGTTGAGGGTTACTCCTGGGTACCTACAGTCTTAACATCTGCCTGCCCTGTGGAGGAGACCCTGCTGGGGGCCCTCACCCTTTCCTGAGGGGAAGAGATCCTGACTGTCTGACCAGGGAGAAGAACCCATGTCCCCTGGTGCCCAGCCCAGCACCTCCCACTGGCTGGAGTTTCAGGCGGCAGCTGGGAAATTACCTCTTCTTCTTCCTGATGTAGAAAACCTGCAAGAGAAGGAGCAGCATGAGATGGTGAGGAAAGGAGGTCTCAGCTAGTGGAGAAGGCCTCAAAGGTGGGTGGCATGTTGAGGCTGAAGGGTGAGAGACCTGGGTCCCCGACCCTCAAGGTCCCTATCCCAGTGACACAGACATCCCTTCTGCCTGCCGCTGTTTGCAGTCTTTAAGTGCTTTCAGTGCCCAGACAGGGCCTAGGGAAACAGAGGTGGGGCCAGACCCGCCCTCAGGAGCCTGGCCTGCAGAAACCATTTAGTGTTGGCTGGGGGCAGGACTGTCACTGCATCTGTGACAGTGTTGGACACTTAGCACCTACCTAGGACTCCTCAGGGTCAAAGTGGGAGGGGAAAACTTGAGTGTGTCTCCTCCCCTCCCCCTTCCCCAGGCCCAGAGCTACAAACAGGCAAAGGGAGCCGCTGACTGGCCTGGCCACACTCACAGAGCAGAGCTCTAGGCAAGGCTCTGGGCAGGGACCCATGGGAGGCGGATGGCCCTCAGGGTCAGCAGCCCAGGCTAAGCCCCCAAACTCTGACACTGGAGGAACCTAAGAAAGCCCCTGTCCTGGATGACACTGTGCAGACATGAGGTGAAGAGCAGGGCAGTCAGAAAACATCTGACTGGACCCGGAAGCCCGGGTACCAAGCACTGAGGACAGGAGAGGTCCAGACTCCGCCACCATCAGCTCTTCCCCAGACTGGCAGTCTCTGCCCATCGGAAATGACTGCTTCTGCGTGGAAAGCCACATCCTGAGGCTGCCCCAAACCCCGTGTGCTCGTGGGGATAAGCATGTGTTACATCCTTCCCCTGGCTCTTTGGAGCCCACGAATAGTTTAGTTTAGTTCCCAGCCTGGCCCGGAGTTCCTCCTCCAGGACCCCAAAAGCCTGAAAAGAAAGTAGCATTTCCCTTCCTCCCCCACTCTCCCAAGGGGTCCATGGGGGGGGGTTGGGGGTGCCCCTTGCTCACAGCTCCCTGTGCCCTCTCTCTCGTGCCTCTTTCCCAAAGCCTCCTCCTCCCCGTGGCCTGTGAGTCAGAAGAATCGACAGGAAAGGCTTCCATCCAGTCTCCACTCCTTTATCCTGCTGCTGTCTCACCACAGCTGCTACCTCCCACCGCACCTCCATTCCAAAGCTTCCTCCCTCCTCCAGAAAGCCCTCCCTCCAGGGTCTTGCCTGCACCAGGCTCTTTTTCCTCTCATGTAAAGCATGAGCCTGGTGCTACCCTTCTCCTCCTTGTGCCCATGGCCTGGCTCAGGGCTGGCCCTCGGGTGGCACCTGTAAACCACTTGTCCCCTTGCCCTGGAGCTGCTTCCTGCTCTTCGCTGCTGTTGTCCCACAACCTTCTCACTTCTCCACCTTTTGCTGGAAGGCCATCCACCCTGGCTGGCTGAGCATTCTCCGAGAATAAAGAGAAGGGAACTTTACCAAGTTCCTAAGACAAACTATTTTGCTGAGAGTAACAAGCGCAGATTCTCATCATTTTGCCCCTGAGATTAGGGTGCCTCGGTCTACTTAACCTCCACGTGAATGCCAAGGGAAAACACTGGCTTCCTGCCCCAAGAGACACCTCAGCGCTGGCCTTGCCGGCATGTGCTACATCCTGGCCCTGCTTACCGGCCAGCAGTGGTTCCCTGGCAGCATTCCGGGCCTGCAGGGCCCATATGGTGACCCTGGTTTAACAGTAGCTCCAGCCAGGCCATGGGTGGACCATCTCAGCCCTATTTGTCACAGCAACATGCTCCTGAGCCTAAGGCCAGCAACCAGAGCCTGCAAGAGGCAACGGACAGAACGCCACTGCAGCAGGCCCTCCAGAGGACCTCAGGCTCACGCCTACCTTCTCTGGTTTCAGGCCGTACAGTCTCTGATAGTCCCTCAGTAACACTGTGAGTACCTAGGGACACCTTAGGGTGCATGCACAGCCCTCTCCCCGCTCTGTTCTGGTAGCTGCCTGAGTCTGCTCCTCTCCTGGCATGGAGGCCAGGCTCCCTCCTCCAGTCTCATCTTTAAGGTTGATCCCTAGCTTCTCTGGGCCACGCCGGCTAGATAAAAACAAACAACAGAAAGTGAAATCTCTTTGTTTTTAGCCCATTACTTATAAAAACCACAGGGCAGGACCTTGTCTCCCCAGCCCAAAGATCTGGCCCAGTAAGCATCTGTCAGCTGCATGTAAGAATGAACACTGCCAACAGCCGGCCATGTGCACAACGTCCTCCTTGAACTCCATGTCCCACAATCCATCCCGCCCACCTTTGGGCCCCTCGGTCTACTGCAGCCTCCTCCACACCCACTTTCCCCACTATCCTGCTTGCTGCTCACAGACCCTCCTGCTTCCCTCCACATTTTGCCTACCAAGGCTTTTCATCTGGAACACCCTTCTCTCCAAACCTGTGTGGCCTTCATTGCCCAGCTTAAAATACCACATATTCTTCAGAATCATTTCTGGGTCTCTTAAGAAGAATTGCCTCTCTGGTCTTTGGGCCCCAGCAGACAAATCTCAAGGGGTTGGGGTGGGTGGATTGCATTATCGCTAATGGACAACTGTCTTCTGATTAGATTTTCTACAAAGCTAAACACGGACTACCCTCCCCCACACAATACCTCCTGGGCCAGCCCCAGCCTGCCCCAGTTCTCACCACGGCCACAGCCAGGCCAATCACCGTGATGATTCCGAAGGACAGAAGCATGGTGCCCACACCAGCCGCCCCACTGGCTGTGTCAGGGACTCTAGTGTCATTGAAGCTTGTGGCTTCTGGGCTGAGGGTCTCAGAAGTGGGTCCGTCAGTGGTAGGCTCCAGGTCGGGCTCAGTGGTGGGTGGGCGGCTGCTAAACCAGCCCTGAGTAGATGAGATCCTGGAGCTCATGCCGACTCTGGGAGATGCGTGTGGTCAGTCAACCTGCCCCCTTACTTCTGACGTCAGGAGTGCCCCAGTCCCTGTGGTGGCCTCCTTGATAACAGGAGCTTCAGTCTCCCCAGGTGCTGAAAAAGAAAGAATAAAAACATGAGTCCAAGGACAGGGACACGGCCATGAGATAAGCAACATTTTTCTAGGCCCTGAATCCACGGGGGAAGTGAAGGCTTGGGGGCAAGGTCAAAGGTAAGTTCAGGGGACAGCAGGACACATATGCATAGCAGTTTCTATATGCACAGTTCCTGTGTACATTAGAGAACATGAAAATGAAGGCCTGCCACCTCTGTGGATAAGATGTTCTTAGTGACCATGCCCAGAAGATAGGGAAGGCAGTGGGGTTCATTGGAAGGAAAAGTTCCTCCCCAAAATAATACCCTCTACCTCCTCTCATTCCTCCTTCCCTACCTCCTCATTCCCTGTCCCCCACATCCTCCATCCTGCCTGAGGAAAAACTGCAGCCTTTTCTTCCCCTGGAGGGAAACACTTGCCGAGGGGTCAGACAGGCCTGTGTTTGAATCCAGTTCTGGTTGAGCCATTTAACTAGGGGACCCTAGGCGTCTCTCACTTGATGTCTGTGTCTCAGTTTTCCTGAGTCTAAGGGGAAGGTGTTAAGAATAACCCATAGCATTACAGGTTATTGAAATGTCAGAATGAACAGGTCCCTGGAAAAGCCCTGCCCACAGTGAGCATCCATGAATGTTCCATCTTCTCCCCCTGGCCAACACAGGTATAAAGGGGGGTCGCAAGAGGCTCCAGACACAGTCTGCTATTTGGTCCAGTCTGTGCTTAGAATGGGGATGGAGACTGGTGGACAGATCAGGAAACAGGAAGGAGCAGCTAGGCCAGGTCCCTTGGATGGGCTTTTCTGCAGGCTTTTGAGGGGGGTTGGTGGACCCTGATTCCCTGGAAGTACAGCTGGGCGATTGTAGGGACAAGGAACAGGCAAGGGCAGCATATCTTGAGAGGCAGGGATGGAGCTCCCACTTTGAAACGCCTTCTCACTGTCCTCCTCCTCTAAGCAGAGAGCAGATTTGTCAGCCTAGAGAACCCCGGGGAAGGTGGTTAGAAGGGATCCCAGTCACACTGCAGATGGGCAGGCCTGGAAAGGAGGGGTTCATAGCTCGCGGCTGCACATGTGGCTCCCTGTGCAGCTAGCTCATGGATATACATGGGTGTCTCCTTGTGCAGGTGTATGGGTGTGTGTGAGATATGCACACACTCATGACGGCCCTTAGGAAGGGAGCAGGTTGGCAGAGGGGCATGGGCCGCGTAGACCCGTCCCTCTCAGCTCTCTTGCTCCAGCTAGGCTAGGTAAGGCGTCTCGGGTTCTCCTCTAGCCCTGCCACTGACTCCAGGCATGACCTTGGGCCAGACCCTTAACATGCGCAGGGGCTAGGTTTGCTCCTCCAGCCCGAGGAGAAGGAACCTGCCAGCCACCTTCTGGGCCTGCCCCCTGGGCCAAAGAGAAGGGAAGGAAAATGGGGTGGAAGGGGTTGGCAGAGCGACCTTCGAGAACCCACAAGCTATTCTCCACCAGGTCCCTCTGTCCTCCCTGCCTCAATTCCATGCACGACTCCACTCCACGACCCTGGGATTCATCCATTCCCGCACAGAAGCGCGACCTCAGCACTTACTTAATCCTCTCCGGGACTCCGAGCTCAGTCAGAGAGGCTAGGGGTGGTGGCGGAGGGCGGGAGGCCAGGGCGGGACGGACATCCAGGCCCGGAGTCGGGGCGCCAGGTCTGCCCGAGGCCCGCCCTCCCTGCACGATCTGAGCCAGTGGCCGAGAGCACCCGCAGCCCGCCTGGGTGGGTGGGCAGGGCTGGGCAGCCGCTAGGTGGGCCGGGCCGACGGCCTCGGGGGATCCCCGAAGCGCTGGAGCCCAGCCTTCGACCCTCTCCGCGCCCTGGCCCCCGATTGGTTCCCAGGTCTAGAGCCAGCTCAGCATTGGCTCGCTCGTCTGTCATTCGGATATGGCTCCGCCCCCAGCGGGAGTCGGGAGCAGAGAGCCGGGTCTCAGTTCTTTGAGACCATCCCTCAAGCAGTGGCGGTCGGACCGCAACGCGGGTTCCAGACCAGCTGCACTGGCCACCGGGACAGACCGCTCCCACCCCGGGAAACAAACAAGCAGCCATACAGACGCGGAGAGGAGGCTCGGGAGAGGACTGGACCGGGAGTCCTTTGGGCTGTAGGACTGTGACCTTGAGCAAGCTGCTTCCCCTCCCTGTACCTCGGCCTTCTGCTCCTTGGGGGCTGTGGGGTGAGGGCTGTTGGTAAGCGACCCCAACCCTGGGTCAGAAATGGGGTTCAGAAGGCGCGCGATGCAAAGGTCATCCTGGTGACATCATTTGGCGGCCGGCGAGCTACCTGCATCCCCACGGCCGCTCCATCTGCAGCGCGGTCGTGGCGGGGGAAGCCGCACACGCCCTCTTAAGGGCCGGTCTGCAAGGAGCTTAGGGAGCTCGCGGCGCAGCTCGGTACAAGTGCATATGTCCGCGGCTCCTCTGTTTGGGACAGAGGCTGGAAACCACGTTTTTAACAGTAATTTAGGCGACAGTGATGATTTATCAGTAGATTTTGTCAGGAGGTGTCGACAAGCCATGCTTGCAGGACACTGCCATGAATTTTTTTGAAGGAAACGCCGAGGCCCAGAGACATCCGGGCCCTTGCACAAAGCTGTGCGACGAGTGGCCGACAGAGTTAGAATTGAAACCCACTTCGGGTGTGAGGTGCGGGCTCCAAGTCCTACACGCGAGCGAGGTCGCAAGCGGGGCTCGCGCAGGGTCAACGCTTGCCGGCCACGCCTCCTGCCAGCTCGGCCTGCGCCGTGCCCCGCCCCCGCCGCACGCCGGGACGGCCCCCAGCGCTGAGCCCCGCCCCCAGGTCGTGCTGGCCACGCCTCCAGCCGTCGGGCTCCGCCCTCGTCACCCGGGCGCCTTAGTGCGCGCCCCCGTCCCGGCCTGTTCTTCGGTTCTGCTCGCGTGCCTCCTCAGCCTGGCCCCTAAACTCTTGCTTTGGGCTGGAGTTGATCCCTGTGGTGACTTCAAGAAAGACCCTTCTAGGGACTCCCTGCAGCTCCTGTCTCTGGAGCGGTGGCCGCACAGTTCACAACCTTCTCTCCCACTCCAGAGCGGTGTCCCGGGAGGGACTCAGTGGCTTCAGGAACTCAGGAGCTGGGCGACAGGGTCTGCCCGAGCTCTTTCTCGACTGCGCCGACCCGGAAGCGCTGAGTCTGAGGGACATTGCCGCCTACGCACATCCGGGAGCCGATCCGCGCGCGGTTTCCTGGCCGGTGGGTGGGCGGCGTAGCCCCGGGGGCCCGTAGGCACTAGAGGTGGGGCCTGGGGCGGGCGCGCCGTGGACTGCAGCCCCTCTGAGACGTGGCCTGCCCTCCGTCGTGGTACAGCTGGGGAAACACAGAGAGGAGCGCGTCTGGGTCTCTGATGACATCCCTGCGGAGCTGGGGAGGAGGCTGCAACCCTGGCTTCGGGCTCGGCTCCTCCCGGGGCACCGCACGGGTTGGGCAGAGTCGCCTCCATATCCTGCCTGGGATCATGCTGGCTGGGCGAATCTGGGCCTGTCGCGACCCCAGCTGGAGCCGGCTTGTCTCTGAGAATGTGGCAATTAGCAGAGCTCGGTGAATGCTAGGTTGGACCTTAAGTCTTCCTGCAAGTAAAGTGGGCAGCTGGTTTTAAGCCTTCCGTTAAGCTTATTTGTGACAATGTAGATACAACATTTGAACTGTTTTAGTGGCTATTTATACTAACATTTGGGATTATGGGTTAAATTAGAAGGAGCATTTCAGCATCCAGATGCCAGTGCGTGCAAAATGGCATAAACAAAGCCCCCAAGCAAGGCAGTCTCTTCCCACAGGTGACATTAGAGCCGGTAACTCCCTGCTGTGTGATGAGCTGGCTCCTAGGGCCTTGACTTTCCTCCACCCGTGCACCCCTCGCCATGGGGTGGGGCTGTATTTCCACCTTATGGATGAGGAAAGTAAAAATCAGAAATAACGACTTTCCCAAGGTCCCGTGCACTGGAGCGAAACACAGATCTGTTCTGCCCCTGCACTTATGCCCCATCTCACCACCAGTCTGTTTATTAGCAGGGACTGAGCTGCAGAGACCAAGCCCACTTCTGCCAAAAACGTGAAGAAGACATAAGTGGCCACGACAAGAAAAATGGAGTAGGTGGGTGAGGGTCCAGACGGAGGTGACTGTAAGCATGTCCTTTCTTTGACAGCTCCTGCTTCTCCTCTCGCTCCCCTTAGGGTGAGGACCACTTTGAAGACCAAAACCATCTGGGAGCCAAATCAGAGCCTGTGATCTCTCATCTCCACACGGCCAGGCCAGAGACCATTTGCAGGACCTACCTCAGTGGCTGAGATCACAAAGAAGAGAGACACCTGTTGCCCTTGGGAGCCTTTTCCTAAGACATGGGGCCTTGGGGCCGAATGCTGTGGACTCTTCTATCTGGCCCTGGGGGGAGGAGGGGAGGCACCCAGGGCAGGGTCTTCGGCTCATGGCCACCCCATCCACCTCTGCCCAGGCTGTTAAATCCCACGGAGTTGGTCAGCCACTGGACAGGGGTCTTTGAGAAGAGAGGCATCCCAGAGGCCCGAGAATCCAGTGAATACATCGTGGCTCATGTCCTTGGAGCCAAAACAGTTAAGTGCAGTGTGATGGGAGGTGGGAGGACCCTGGGGAAGAGACATCTGGATTTTGTCTCGTTAAGAGTGCTTAGCTGAAGGTATTGGGAAAGGGAAAGAAATTGCTCAAAAGAGGAAACAACTGGGATTAGGGAAAGGAGAAAAAGAAAGAAGGAAGTATATATATATATATATATATATATATACACACACACACACACACACAAACATATATACACAAGGATGGCTGAGATAACTGTACTGCTGATGTCTAATGGTTCATTGGAAGGAACAGTTAAAAGCTTTATTTATTTATTTATTTATTTATTTATTTATTTATTTTTGGGTCTTTTTGAGACAGGGTCTCACTATACAGTTCAGGCTGGCCTTGTGCTCACTTTGTAGCCCAGGCTGGTCTCGAACTCCCAACGATCCTCCTGCCTCAGCCTCCCGAGTGTGCACCACCATGCCGGGCGTAATGGTTTATTTTTTTGGACCAATTTTACATGCTTATATCTGGTAATCTGAACAACTAATTTGAAGACAACAATATGCAACATAACCATTGTTGAATTCCTATCATCTTGTTTGGTGAAACTCTGTATCGTTTATAATTTTTTTGTTTTCACTTTTTATTCTTTTTAATGGTTTGAGTAATCTTGCATTCTTATATCTGGTAATCCGACCAACTTTGATGAAGAAAAAAATATGTAATATAACAACTACTGTTAACCCTTATCATTTTGTTCTGAAACCCTTGTATCGTTATTATTTTTGCTTTGTTTTGTTTTTGTCTATGTTGTTGGCATTTTGCTATTGTTCTTTTTTCAATTCTCTTTAAAATAAAGAAAATAATAAAAAGGAATCGAATTCTGAGACCTGCTGAAAAAAAGAGTGCTTAGCTGAGATGGATGGGATTTCTTTTTTTGAAGGAATGTGTTCGGTAGATGCTTATTAGCTCTTCTAGAAAACCGTGACAGTGTGCTGGATACTAGCAATTCAGAGATGGCTGAAGTAGCCAGTGCTGGACCCATGGGGCTTGTCCACATAAGAAACCTTGGGTCGGACCCTTGACCAGGGGAAGCAGCTGTTCACATTCTCTCTTGGGATAGTTTCAGAGCTTGCAGCCAGCGCTTTGGACCCAACCCTTGACTCCTCAACAGCTGCACTGTGTCCAGGAGCTGTGTAGCCGCCGATTGCAGAGGTAAGCACCAATGGGTCAACCCCGAGGGCTCTGTGTGGGGAGCACAGCTTCCCCCAGCCCCACTGAGTTCACGGCCAGGAGGAGGGAAGTGTCTAAGGACTAGGGAAGTATTGGGGTGAAGGAGTAGCAAGAGGGGACCAAGGTGTAAATAGGAAAAAGGGAGAGAGGCCGGGCCTAGGCTGGATGTCCCAGGACACTGAGAGGTGGCCTCGCTTGGCAGCCTTGGCCACAAGTGGCGTCCCTCGCCTCAGGCGTGGTCCTGGCTTAGGCACTGATGACCTCCTGGCTGCCCCCTCTGCAGGATGCCTGTGCAGTACATCCTTGGGGAATGGGACTTCCGGGGGCTCAGTCTGAAGATGGCACCCCCAGTGTTCATTCCTCGACCTGAGACAGAGGTGAGTATGCCGCCAGGATAAGACCAGGACGAGATGGAATTCAGGGGACCTGTCTTTCCCCAGACTTCCTCCAGGGGGTGCTGGGGCCTAATGATTGCCATTCTCAAGGGCCGTGCCTTTCAGACCTATCTCCTTGCTAACTGGGTTGGCTAGGGCCGAGAATACAGAGGACCCTTGTTGGCCCTATTGACTATTCTTGTGTCTCAAGCTGTCACCCAAGCTCTTTGGACTGACACGGTACACCCCAAATAGAGCTGTCCAAGTATGCGGCCTATTTTTACAGTTGCTCTAGGAGCTACCATGTGGGCTGTGGCCCTCCCAACCCATGAGGAACTAATGCCCTCCAGCAACTTCTTAAAAGGTGCGCAGAAGAAGTGGAGAGAGCTGTGCTAGATTCCTGGGTGCCTGGTCTGAGCTGGGGGACTGTAGGCAGTCACTGCCCCTCCTGGGCCTGGATGATGAACAGGTCGGACCTTCAGACCAGGGAACCTGTGATTTGAGGTCCTTGTAGTCCACTGTCTGGTGTACTAATTATATGCATCAGCCCCACAAATTCGAGAAGTGGACATGTGTGACCCAAGCGTGCTACCCCTTACTGAGGCATCGAGCTCTCGGGAGAGCTGCTTTCTGTGGTCCCTGGTCTTCCGTTTTACTTGGTGGATGGCAGAGCTGACCAGAGACAGCAGAGCAGGGCTGGAGTGGGACGGAACTGAGTAGGGCTGGTTGGCAAGCCAGAGGGTACCAGGACCGGTGCAGGTGTTTCTAGAAAGATACCCAGGCACACAAACATTCCTGGGAAGCATCAGGCCCCTTCCACCTGCCCTAGATAGGGACCCAGACCCCCTCCCACTCTTCCAGCCTCTGCCCCCCGCCAAGAAACCTCTGACTCCTCTCACCACCGTATCGTGTGGTTAGGAGACTGGATCTTTGCCTCATAGCCAGTGTTAGGGCGGGGGCTGTAGGAAGTGTGAGGCCTTCGTGAAGCCACGGGGTCGTCAAGGAGGAGCATGTGGGGATAGCACTTAGACTTCCCAGCTCCTCCCATGGGGCTGTCTCATCTAGGACTGGCTTCCAGAGCAGGATGTGGCCTGCCACCTGCAGGCCTTTGGGAGACCGTCCTGCAGTCCCCCACCCCAGACATGGGGCTTTTTGATCAGGAGGGCATTTGCCAAGCTCTGAGGCTGCCAAGTGTCAGGGCATGGGCGGGCAGCTCTCCTAGTGACCTTTGGGTCTCCGCAGAAGTGACCTGGAACCAGCCGTGTGTCCGGGGTTTCTGAGCATTGTGTGTAGGCGTCAGTTTCCATGTGGCCCCCCTTTCTTGGGTAGGTGTGGGCCAGGAAAGCAGCTTTGCTGCAAGAGACAGGGACCGGGGGTGCTGTGGTTGGGAGGCAGCTCCTACCTGACTGTACAGAGTTCTGAGAACTCACCAGGTTCACCCCAGCATGAAGCCACAGTGGGGCGGGGCGCTTTACCGAGAACTCTAGAGGATGTGGCCCCGGGGCAGCAGTGGGGAGAAGGCTGCAGGGGGGGGTGTAGTGACTGTTCTCTCCACCCACCGAGAGTAGTTTCTGAGGATGGGTACAGAAGTCTGAGGTACACAGTCACAAGTGGCTTGTGGCCTGACGAGTTGGGGTTTCCCTGGGGGTGGTAGGTGATTGCGTCCCCCACAAGACAGTGTGTACAGTAGGAAGCCCGAGGCTGGGGTGTGTGCCATCTGGCCTGGCCTAGTGTGGTGAGGTTGTGGGGACAGGGAGGCTCAATGCTTCGTCTAGGATGTCTTTGGTGGAGGTAGTGGTAGGTCCTGGGACCCTAGTGAAGGGGCCTATGGCACTCAAGTTCTGTTCAGGCTTTGGGTCACCCTCTTAGGGGGCTGTGGAGTCCATGTTGGGGCGGTGGACGGCAGCTGCCTGCTCCCTCCCTCATGCCCATGGGCCCCTGTCCCTCCAGCACTGTGCAGCTGACTTCTCCCCATATTTACTTGGAAGAGATGCCCGGAGGCTGTAACCAGCTCAGCTATCAGTGTTCCCCAAAGAGCCCCTGCTTCAGGGTGAGAGAGAGTCTTTACCGTTCGGGGAAGACGACCTGTAGCCTCCCTGGGGTGGTCCCCAGTGTGCCCCATGATGGTCCCCTAACCAAGATGAACCTCCTGTGATCTGGAGTAGGAGCGGGAACAAGAGGCCACTGGGGACCCAGTCCTCCGGTCTTACCCCTGCCCTGGATGGCCGGTCACGTAGGTGGCGTGTGTCTGAGGCCAGGGAGATTTCTGAAAGGTGGCTGGGCAGTGTGGCTGGCCGACGGGTCCTCCTGCAGTACAGTGGGAAGTCTGTAACCAGGAAACCCAGAGGCTCACACCCCCGACAAGTCTCCTCACCCTGCTGGCCTCTCGGCATGTGCCTCACCACGGGCTCAACCACAGCTCTAGACCACACGCTCCGGGCCACTTCCAAGCTCCTACCTACATCCAAGGGGAACCTTTCAGAAAGGGCCACGCTGCCCTTTCCCGTTCCTTGACTGGTAGCTCGGACCCCCATGCCAGTGCTGGTTGGAAGGGTTTCAGTCACTGCACAGCAGACGCCCTCCACCCTTGCCCCTACCCTGTGTTGGCTTCACTTCCTGCAGGGGACTGTCCCATACACAGTCCTGCGGGCAGCAGGTGGTAGGCAAGACACAGACGCCTTTTGTACCCCAAGTGACAGTGTCTGTATCCTCCCACTGCCCAGGTCAGTCAGGCCTCTGCTCCCACACCCCTGCCCCCTTTCCCCAGGTTCTCTGTATGTTACAGGCCCCTTCGGATAGAGGACTTAGGCGGGACTACGTCCCCACCCTGTGGAGAGAATTCTGCCCCTTTGGCCCAAGAGTCACTCTGGGGACCTCCCAGATTCATCTCTGTGAGGAAGCTAGAGACGGACCAGCCGCCGACTCACTTCTTCCTCCCTCCCTCCTGCCCGCCTTCGCTCCCTTCCCTTCCCTTCCTTTCCCTTTCCTGCCAGGCAAGTGCTGTACCACTGAGTTGTACCCACAGCGTTCAGCCTTTGATTCTTGAGCACTGTGAACCATAGACCAGGCTCCAGGTGGGTCCTTGACCTTTGGGCCTCAGTTTCCTTGTGGGCCAGTTGTGAGGACCCGACAGATTAATCCAGGGAAATCACCCGGAGCGGGGTCAGGCACAAAGAGAGTGGCCCGGAGCCATCCTTGAGCGTGGGACAGGAGAGCGTCTGGAGGGGCTCTGCTGGGGTCTGTTGTATTCTTGCTATGCAAGAGGGCTGGGCTCAGTGCTTTGTGAATGTGGCTTGTCCCCCGTGGAGAAGGTTGTGCTCACCTGTGCCGAGTTCTACAGATGGGGAAACTGAGGCATTAAAAGCCAGGGAGATCTGCCCATGGACCCGACTGACACGAAGTCAGCCTGACTTTGGCCAGCCGCTGTCTACATTCATTCAGGCTGTGGGTGTCTCTGCGAAGACCCCAGGAGCCAGGTTGGCACCAGCTCTGACCCAGACTCCTCTGCCCCACAGGAACTGGTGGAATGGGTACTAGAGGAGATGGCCCAGAGGCCCCCTCTGATGGAAGCTCAAGATGGCCCCTGGATTCTGGAGGTGGGCTGTGGGTCGGGAGCCATCTCCCTCGGCCTGCTGACTCAGCTCCCCAAGGTGAGCTCCCTCTTGCCCCTCTGCGCTGCCCTGCCCAAGCTGTGCCATGCACTCACTGCCCCTGGGGGTCCTTCCCCACATCCCTCCGCCAGAAGCCCTTGGATGTGGAAGAAGCCTGTCCCAGCCCAGCCTGAGAGCCTCCCGCTCTCACCCCGTCTGTCTGACTAGGCTCTGGCCGTAGAGAGGAAAACACTGTTGAGTGTTTCCTCTTGGTGGGAAGCGCAGGTGGGAGATGCAACTTCCTCTGCTAGGACCTGCACCGCCCAGCACTGCCTGTCATGTTTTTCTTCGGGCAGAGCCGAGTCATTGCTGTGGATAGGGAGGAGGCTGCCACCCGCCTGACCTGTGAAAATGCTCAGAGGTAGGGGGCCAGGGAGCCCGTGGATGAGCCTGGGGAATTGGACCTTGGAGCTTGAACTTGACCTTTTTTCACTGTCGAACCCACCAGTGTCGGATCTGCTCCAAAGAAGGGAGACGTAGCAGGGGCGGCCCCGCGTTAGTCCTCCAGCTTTATGAGTGGGCGTGGGCACTGGGTGTCTTGCTGGTCTAAGAAGGGTTCACTGGCCCTCCTCATCCTTGTAGCCGAGGGTCGGGTCTGCCCCCCATACTCACTCCCTCCTCTCCCTGTCTCCAGGCTTCAGGTGCAGGACAGGATTTGGATTGTCCCCCTCGATGTGACCTCAGGTACCCTCCCCCACCCATATTCCTTGGCGTGAGGATCCCGGCTCGGGTGCTGCGGGGTGGACGAGGCACCTGCAGAGATGGAGAGGGCTCCCCAGTAGTCACATGTGCACGGGCCATCTCAGACCAGGCCTTGCTGAGGATGGACAGGCTGCTGTCACCTCCTGGGCTGACATGACCAGGAAGGGACCAGTCACAGGGTTTTTCTTGCCTTCTTAACCCCCGTAGGTAAGGAGTTTTACTACAGTTTATTTATTGATGAGAGATAATTAAGCTTGAGAGAAAGCCCGTGGGACCAAAATGCACGAGTGCCCTCCCACTCTCGTCCAGCCTGGGAGGAGGCAGCCCAGGACTGCGTAACCCAGCCTTGGCTTTCACAGTGCCCTCAGGTTCCAGCTCTGGTGCTGGCTCTGTTGTGTTGCCGTGGGGTCCCCATGTGCTTCCTCCAAGGCATGCGATACAGGTGGTACATACCTGGCACAGGGTGAGACCGGCGAGGCTGGGCCTGCCCTCCATTGCTCTCAGACCATGTGATGTTAGGCAGAGCGTGGCAATGCCAGTGGGGTTGAAGACGGAAGAGGCTCTTGCTTTGCCCAGGCAAACATAGAGAGTTTCCTGGAGGTGGCACCTGGCATAAATATTGCTTACGAGGAGGTTTGACAAGCGGGAAACAGAGGAGGATGTTCTCGGTGGGAGTCTGCTTGTGAGAGCGTGCACACGCCTGGTCATGCTACTGGCGAGGGACCTGGGTACCAGTCTCTACATGTGCCTTTTCAGGTCTGGCGATAGCCCCAAGGTGTGACTTAGGAAGAGAGACCACCCAAGGGACAAGGTGGCAGGTAGAGCTGCCACCCCTTTTTTCTCAATGAACTAGTCACGCTGTGTGTCTCCCCTTTTTGACCACAGAAGGGAGCTGGACACATCTTCTGCCGTGGGGCCCTGTGGACCTGGTTGTCAGCAACCCTCCGTATATCTTCCACCAGGACATGGAGCAGCTGGCCCCAGAGATCCGCAGGTGCTGAGTGGGGCAGGCCTGAGAAGGCCTAGCGGGATTGGACTGCCCTGGAGCCCACACAGTCTGGGGGCGGGGTCAGCCGAGAGGGGCCGTGTGTTTAGAGGTGCGCTACGCGGTAGAGCCCACAGTCCTGTTATTCAGCTTGTGCCTCCCCACCTCCCTGCTTCTCACTTGAGGCTGCTCTCTGAGCCTCAGTTTCCCGCCTCTGAAGGGGAAGCAGTAGTGCTTTGCAGGGCCATGGGGAGGCCTCAGGGACACGGACACCATGAGGGCTCATGGAAGGTGTTAGTAGACGGGTGTGTCATTCACAGAAGAGAGGGAAGGTGCTTGTCTACAGTCTGGAGGGGCCGTGACAGGAAAGCTGAGACTGCGACCGTCCTGCGGCTTCACACAAGCCGTGCTGCTCTCACCTGCGCTGGGGGCCAGGGAGCTGAGGAGTCCCTGAGTGGGAGCAGTGGTGTGGGGCAGAGCTCCCTGCTTTCTGGGCCCTCAGAGGTGGTCAGGGCCAGCTCTAGACCTCCTGGACCAAAACCCATTGTAAGCACCCCACTGAGGAGTGACCCCATGTCCTGGGGCAGGCTGTCTGGGATTCAGCAACATGCCCGCTACTGCCTGATGGGAATGCTGCCCACAGGAGGTTGGGATGTAGGAGCTGCCTTCCGTCTGGGGGAGCCACCTCCTCTGGGTCCTCACACTTGCCTCTCAGCCTGGAGTCTGAGTTCCAGGAGATGCCGTCTAGTAGAAGCCTTGCCTGGATCCCCTACTTTTCAGACATACGCTACGCTGCCTCCCAGCAGCCAGGGTCTCACCGCTACCATTTACCTGTTCAGCTATGAAGATCCAGTGGCCCTGGACGGTGGCGAGGAGGGCATGGACGTCATTACCAGCATCTTGACCCTGGCGCCTCAGCTCCTGAAGGACTCTGGGTAGGGAGGGGCCTGTCTCCGGCTCTTCTGTTCCCCGTGTGTACTGGGCACACCCTGGTAGTCATTCTGCCTCACCTCTCCCAGCCTGGGCAACCCCAGACTGCAAGTCCCGGCCCTGCCCAATTGAGCTGACCTGTTTCCTCCCCTATAGAAGCGTCTTCTTGGAAGTGGACCCAAGGCACCCGGAGCTCGTCAGCAGCTGGCTTCAAAGTCGGCCTGATTTACACCTCAGCCTTGCGGCTGTGCGCAGAGACTTCTGTGGGAAGTAAGCCCCCCACAGTCCCATGGCCACAGGGATCCTCCTCTTCTCACCCACCGTGCTTGCCCTGGAGCTCTGGTGCAAACCGGCTGTCATTCCTGTCTCCACAGGCCCCGCTTCCTGCACGTGCAAAGGTCTGGGCCGCGGTGCAGCTGCCCCGCAGACCCTCGGCCAGAGCCGCAGCCTGCCTGAGTGCCGGGCGGACCCTTCCAGGAGTGGTGCATGGTGCTTTCCAAAGCCCAGGCGCTTGCAGCACGCCCGTGGCTGGCGCTGTGCTTCCTTATGATGCACACTTCTGAGACTCGGAAGCCGGGGTGGAGGTGTCCGTCCTGGGGCAGTGAAACGCAGGGCGTCCACAGTTCGGCTCACAAGCAGGCAGACCCAGGTTCCCAGTCCGGATCCAGGATGTCACTGTGACCAAGCGCAGGTCACTCCATGCGCTTTGCGTCGGTGTTGCTGTTCAGGTCCTGGGAAAGGTGGACAGTAAAGTATCAAGAGCCTGGCGAGTGGCAGCCCAGTGGTTTGGTTGTGGTTTGTGCGTCCCTGCTCCTCATCCCTGGACAGGGCAAGGGTGAGTGCTTCCTCTTGCCCCAGCAAGCCTGCAGTTGTCTGCCTGCTGGAGGCAGACACCTCCTCCTGTCCTTGATACCACAGAGCCCTGCACCGAGAGCTCCCTCCCCGACTGACTCGTCCCGCACCAGCCGGTGCCCTTGCACAGTTCCCTGGCTGGCCCCAGGCTCTGAGCATGCTTCCAGGAAGGGACGGGGCTGAGGGGTCTCCGCACACAGTTCTGGAGTTGCACACTCACTGTCACATAATCAAAGGCTTGAGCCAGCCCAGCTGAGAAGGGCTTTTGTTTACCTTTACTCCTGTAGCTTTGATTGATTGATTGACTGACTTGTTTTTTGAGGTAGGGTCTCACTGTGGCTGGCTTTGAACTCACTCTGTAGACATAGCTGTCTCAGACTCACAGTGATCCTCCTGCCTCAGCCTCCCGAGTGCTGGAATTATAGGAGTGCACCAGTATTCCTGTACCTTTTCGCTAAACATCCCTCCCAAGTTAACCCTCGGGTTCCAACTCACTCGTCTCTCCCTGTTGGGGCCAGGGACAGTGAGAAGCCATGACAGTGAGTACTGAGTTGTGCCCCCGTCAGCTCTAATCTCTGCATGTTCGTGGCCAGCAGTCGCGGGGACAGCGATGCGAAGCCTCTAGGCTGGTGAGTGCTGGCCTGAGGCTGCATCCGGGTGGACGTAGGGAGCATGGCGGGCCAGCAGACCCTCCACCCCACCTCTCGAGTGCATGGGCCAGAGGCAGTGTGCCTGCCGGGCAGCACCCTCAACGAGCTAGTCACGCTGTGGAGCCCGGACAGCTGGTCCAGGGCTGCGTCCTGCAGAGGGACCACAGGCAGGCCTTTCTTCTGAGTCCAGGGGCAGTGCAAGTGGCACCCTTGTTTCACTTTCAGCCAGCTAAGTGGAGGGTGCAGGCTAGCGGCTGAATGTCCGCTGTCCAGACAGGTAGTCCAGGGTGCCAAGGGGAGATGTGGCCTGTCTGAGGGCCCACGACAGGAAGTGGCCGGGTGGAGACAGGAAGTTAGAGTTATATTGCTGGGGAGCACATCTGCCTTGGCAGAGGCCGGGCTGCAGGTCCCAGAGCCCTAGTCTGGCGTGTGGCACCCAAGAGAGTAATGGTGGAGAGCAGTGTCGGGGCGGCTGAGGTCAGTGGAGCAGGAGCCACCCCTGGGAACAACTTTCTTCCCAGAAAAATGTGGGGCTTGCCTTTGCTGCGGGTAATTTCCAAGCCAAGCAGACTGGCCAGGCCGAGGCCCCGAGCCTGCTGCCACTGGCTTGACTGGGTGCTGGATACTGAGCTGCAGTTTGGAACCACACCAGGCTGAGTTCAGGTCCCGGAGTCGCCCCAGTTCCCCAGGAAGTAACCTTGGGCGGATGGCTTCACCTTACTCAGCCTTGGCTTCTAAGCCTGAGAAATGGAGCCAATGCTTTATTTTATGGGATGGTTGTGAAGAGCCCATGGATGTAGCTTTCTGAGCACACAGTGGGCATGTTCATAGCCCACTTCAGAGGACAGACACAGAAAGGCAAGGCCCTGTAGCCTCCTGTGTCTGTCTGGGCCTTGGCAGGCAGAGACGAGGCAGTCTGGAGAGGAGGGACAGCAGGGATGTCCGTCCTGGGCTCTTGGCTTCTCCTTGCCCTCTGGGAATGGAACCACCGAGAGGCTGATGGCCTGGAACCCCACATCCCCTCCAAACGGGGATCTAAGTGCCCTGAGGCCCAAGCTGAGGCAGCCCATGGATCCTGCTTAGGGAAAGCCAGGTTCCCTTCCCTCACTCCTGAGGCCGGAGTCAGAGACTTGGGCCACCTCCTGTGGCACCCATCAAGGAGGCCCTGGGGTCAGAACAGGAGGATGTGGAGCTGTGGTGTAGTGCAGCCTCTGCAGGCTCTTGAGGTCTCAAGGGACATGTCTGCTACCCCAGGTCTCCTTCAGCCAGAGCCCAGAACCTGGCAGGAGGTGCAGGGATCCCTGTCCCATCTCCTACTCTGTAACTGAGGTTGCAGCTGGATGCTTCCCCCCGCTGCTCCGCAGGGCTTAGCCAGCAGCCAGCTGCTTTGTTGGAATGTGCGCCCAAACTCCTGACTGCGAGAAGTACACGCTTTTCTGCTTCTCTGCTCCCACCTGGACCTTGGGCCGTTCCCTGTTCCCAGTCCTTGTCCTAAGCCCCTGGCTGGCCTTCCAGGATCTGGGAATGGCTCCTGTGTTCTGCAGAGGTGAGGAATAGCCATGGGAAAGGTCTTGGGGCCCCTTCCCTGGCCCTGCCGGTACTCTGTGTAAGCTGAATCAGAACACAGCATTCCGCTGCTGACAGGTGTGAGCTAATGGCCCGAGGTGGGGGACCCCTGCAGACCAGCATGTCTTCCCCTCTACTTCCCTGGGCTTCAGGCTTCCTGCAGTACCTTCAGTCTCGGAGCACACCTTCCCCGCGCCCTTGCTGGCTACCGCTAGTCCAAACCACACCCTACCCCAAGCTCCATCACAAACGCTTCCTCCTCTGGAACACCTGCTCCGACCTCTCCATTCTCCTTGCCTGCCCCAGCTCAGTGTCCGCTGGTGCCAATGATGTTCTGCTCCATGCATTTGGAAACCTTCTGTCTCGTCTCTCTGGGGTCCCCTGGGAGTCTGGCATGTTCAAGACCAGTAGACATCCACCAATAAAATGATGGTGAACATTTTCTAGGATAGGGCTGGAACTCCCACATGGCCCGCCTCTGACCTGTGAGCCACTCTTATGTATTCTGGTCAGCAGAGGAAGCCATGAGGGCCTGGCCTCCTGCCTGAACCAGGCAACTGTTCAAGTTGAGCCACTGCCCCACAGAGGGCTCAAGTGCACCTGATCGCTGCACGGCAACCACACCAGGAGAACAGGCTGTCCTTGGCTGCAGCAGGGACAGGCACCAGGTTTCCTGGAGCTCTTGACCATGGCAGCCAAACTGGTGGCTAGAGCAATAGCCTGATCCCCCTTCCTGACCCCTGTGCCCTGGATAAGATTCCTGGACTGGTTTGGGGATGGCACATAGCCCCAACCATCCTGTGGTAGTTAGGTAATGGCCCCCAAAGATGCCCACGTCCTCACCCCCCGAAACCTGTGACTATTATCTTCTGCGACAGAAGGGACTTTGCAGATGTGATAGAGACATCAGATGAAAAGACTGTCCTGGGTTATTTGGGTAAACTCAGTGTAATCACAAGGGTTTTATAAGAAGGAGGCCAGAGTGTCAGAGTGAGAGAAAGGGTGGTGGTGGAAGTGAGGTCAAAGTGATGTGGTTACTGGAGGAAGGGGCTGAGGGCCAAGGAATGCAGACAGCCTCTCTCTAGAGCCCTGGAAAGAATGTGATCCTGTGGACACCTTGATTTTCAAACCCAGTGAAACTGATTTTGGATTTCCAACCTCTGAAGTTGTAAGATGATAAACTTGGAGTGTTTCAAGTCACTAAATTTGTGGCAGCCGTGGAAAACTAATACAGATTTTGGCACCCAAAGTGGAGTGCTGCTGTGAACATCTAAAAAATAGAAGTAGGTAGCTTTGGAACTGGAACCTGGAAATGGCCAGAGGCTAGAAGAATTTTGAGAAGCATGCTTTGAGAAACATTGCCTCCAGCACCTTTCTCCTGAGAGATGGCATGGCCATGGTGGAGGGATGGGGAACTCTCCTCAAGCTGCCAGCCCTGCCCGCTCCTCTCACTGTCTGGAGAAAGCCGGCACTTTCTCAGAGTGAGTGGACTGGGAGGTGAGCGAGGTATCTGGAAGAACCTTTGACATCTTGGTCTTGTAAACAGGAATGACACATACACTATGAGTTCAAAAGTCCCAGGAACCTCTTTTCTGAGACCCCCCAACAGTCCCGGTTTTTCTTGGTTTTGCTTTTCTTTTCGTGGTTCTTGAGCTTGAACATCCATCCTTGAGCATGCTGTATAAACGCTTTGCCACTGAGCTGCATCCTTAGCCGCCTGGCCTTTCTGTGAAAGGCTGAATGGCCGAATGTGCAGTTGACAGAATGCAAGAGGCGAGGGGAGCCTACCTTGGCCGTACTGGGAGCCCTGAACTGGACTCACCTGCCACTGGTGCCAGCGGAGACCGCTCAGAGCTGCTGGCCCTCTGGCCTGGCCGGGTGGGCGCCCAGGTCTCTGACCCCCAGGTCTCTAGCAGCAATTCTATTTCTCAGCAGGGGATGCCACCTCACTGCTCCCTGCTCTGCTGGGCTTGGCCTTCTGAGGCACGTGCCTGGGGGGATGGAGAGGCCAGAGGTCCCACCCCTGAACTTAGGTTGCAAAGACATTGCTGGGGTGTGAAGCCCACACAGATCCCTGTGTTCCAGGAGAGGAGCCTGAGGTTCAGCAGGACGAGGGCTTGCGCTGAGCTCTCTTTCTGAACCCTCAGTTGCTCGCCTTTCCTCCAGCTGAAGACCCCACCTTGCTTTCCAGGAACAGGCCTGCCTTTCCGAAGACAAATCCCTCTGCCTTCCTGAAGTCAGCGTGAGGCTGATTTCTGGGAGTGCACAGTGAATCTGCGCCGGCGCTGCCCACACCTTACTTGCCCTTGGACCTTGCCGTGGAGGAAGGATCCAGGCAGCCCCTTGGCCCTCATCCACCTTCTTGCCCTGCAGAGCTCAGTGCTGAGGCCACCTGGGCTTCTGAACCCTCCAAGCAGAAGCAGGGGCTGCAGGGATGTCCCCAAAGGGTTTCTAGCAGCTGCCCCATAGGCCGTCTCCTGAGGTACAAGGAGGACAGGGCCAGGACCTTAGTCTTGCGAGCTCTTCTGTGGCAGGCTCCAGGGAAACAGTCTTAAGCAGAGGGCTGTAAAATAGGGAGCGTGAGTGGTGTGCCCTGAACCAAGAACATCTGGGGTTATCCCACTCCACCCACATGGCATCCCCTAAGGTAGTGATTGAACCTAGTCCTCTGACAGCTGCACAGGTGGGGACTGAACAGGTCACAGAGGCTACCTGC